GAATATTTTGTTTTGTTTTTAGTGCATTTTGTTTTGTTTTTCGTGTATTTTGTTTGGAAGTCGGTTTTGTTTTTTTATTAAAAAGTTTTTAATGACATCGATAGCACATAAAACCGCTAAGATTTTTTTCAAATACTATACCCGTATGATAGAAACATGAATATTTGAAACTTTTACGTTTGTTTACTAAATGATTTTCCTTAAGGTGGGAATTACCGTATCATTTACTACATCGTAATAATTTCTCAGTCATTGTACATTGCTATTTGAGAACTAATTTCCTTATGGAAGGTCTTATAAAATGTACAACAAGAGCTACATATGTTGCCATAGTCGTACACATAGTCTTGTTTCTTTGTTTTTCTATTGACGTACCATTAACCCAAAAATATCGATAATATTACGGTAATCAAAATCCTATGCCGTATCATCATATTATAATAATCTAATATATGTAAGTTTCAACTAATTTGAACAATATTAACTACTAATTCATATTAATTACTAAGATATGATTTCAGTTTAACAACAACCTAATGGCTAAATGGACCAACGCCGTAGCTTATAAATTGTTATAAATTGTTATAAAAAATTTCACAAACTTCGCCCTGTGATCACTATGACTGATATTTAGTTTTTTCATAGCCTGTTTGTTTGGATAAGATACGAAATAAGTATATTAGAGGAAGTTTAAGAGTAGCCCCAGTGGTTGAGAAATTAAGGAGTAAAAGGTTAGAGTGGTAATGGCATGTTATGAGAAGGGATGAATCGCATGTAACAAGAAGGATGTTAGTTATGAATGTGGAGGGGTACATCGGTAGAGGAGGTGCCTAGAAAGAGATGGATGGATTGCGTGAAAGGTGACATGATCAAGAAGGGAGTGATGACTGAGATGACGGATGATAGAATGCTTTGGAGGACGAAAATCTGGTGCGCCGACCCTACGGGAGTAGGATAAGCCAGGGGAGATTATGAGATGATGATAGCCTGTTTGTATAAAATAGTAAAGACTTGGTATGGCAGAATTTGTTACTTTCTTGTGCATTAAACTAAATTAATTAAAAAAATTAAATTGTCTACGAAATTTAAAAAACAATTATTGTCCTTTGTCATTGTGTTGTTTTATTGTAACACGCAAACCGCAAAAATACGAGATGACTATTCCCTTTGAAAGAATAAACCTTTGTTGTCAAATCACGTCATTGTTTTCCTGCATCTCGCACATTCATCTGAACCTTGAGCAGTTTTCCTTCAAAGGGTTTTTCTTAGTTATTATGACATGTGATATGCACCAGTTTCTTACGACAATTCCATTCGTACATAAACATATTGTTGTTTCTTTCACTCTCATTATAAAAACAAAGACAGCGATATGTTGAACTCTTTAAGCAGTGGAAACACGGGTAATGAATGCAGACTGGTTGGTTGAACGATGTACGAAAGATATCTAATCTTTCATTCTATACTACTTATGTAAATTATGGCAAAAATATACAATTTCCCAACAACAATTGTAAAAAATATTGTATGAACAGCGGTGGAAGCCCACGGTAATATGCCTTTGTCCTAACTTATAGAGTAACACGATACACAGGTCTCAGGAAAAAGAAAACCGGGTTTGCGACCATCCTTGAACTTACATCTCTTTGTATATTTTTATTTTGGTGTATAACAGCAAAGCAGCATAAAAATATTCAAACTTTTAGGATGCTCGTGACAACCGATCGCATAGCTGCCCAGGACGCAAAACTAGACGAGTGTCAGGTGGGCCTACTACGGGTAGCGGTTACTTTTACGTTGCGTTTGTACTTAAAATTGTGTCCTATGCTCCTTATTTAAAATGCGAGACGTAATAATGTTTGGATAGCACTGTAATATCATACATCTGGACCAGGAAAGGGCAGCACTACGCTAAATAACACCGTAAATAAGAGGCAAACTTGTAGGTAATAAGTATATTACAATGGATATTTGTCCAATGATGTCCGAATACTGAACATAAGTATCTTTTATGAAACAAAATGTTGACACTTGAATTGTTGTTTTAAATACTAGCGGTCGCCCGCGAATTCGTAAGTACGGAATTTAAAAAACATACAGACGAATTGAGTGCCTCCTTCTTTTGGGAAGTCGGTCAAAAACGGGTGGTCAATAAAATTTTGAGTATTTTGGCGTACCGATGTACGACGTAGTGGTGACCCGGCAGTACATATTAACCCTACGATTAGCAGATAACCTAGGAAAGACCCATGTACGTATCATACTCGGGTATTCCCTAGGTCTGGGTTACTGCAATACAAGGGTTAAATTAATTAATGTATTTAATCGATATAGCTATTCGGTTTAATTACTCTGCTAATAGCCAGTACATGGCCCTATGGAAGTCAATCATAAAAATGGTTCAGTTTGCGCTTTATTTCAAATACGTAATTATGTTAAACGTCTTAGATATAAGGAATAAAAGGATACACATCCTTATTTTTACAATTTAATTTTCATAAATTATCTTTTTAAATCCATACTAGGGTACACATTAATATTTTACCTCCCAGTAAAAATGTGACAAAGATTTTACAGCCTGTCGAAGAATATTTATGCAAATAGACAGTCTATAGTATTTATTGATAAAAATATAACAATATTTAAAAGGATTTTTCACAATTCTTGTCTTTGTAGCCAGTGTATCTACTAATATTTTGCACATTGTTTTGAGGTAAATGTTAAAGAAGATTTATATCATGTTAGGGTGCGTTTTTTTATAAAAATATTTAAAATAAACAAATAAAATTTTGAACACATTTGTAGTTAAATATTACGGCTTGTCTGTGACCAATTAATCTTAGGTTTTCCGCCCTTCCCCGCCGAGAGTCGGTCAATATATAGCTTGAAAGTTGCGAGGTCGCGATATTCGCTTGCATTCGTTCCGCGAACACACCGCTTGCGCCTTGCAGTTACAGTATAAAACATTTATAAAGGTAAACAACCATAGCTTTTAATGCAATTAATTATAACAATTTTAAAAAAATGTTTTAGATTATTTTACAATACTTTTTAATTTAATAATTTAGTTTATATGTAACAGTTTACTTCCGTTTTTACCATTCAATGTTATTACTGTCACTAGAACATTTCCTTGGGACATTTTATATTTCTAATCCATAACTAGCTTTGTTTTAAGATAATCTCAGAAATAACGTACATTTGTTAATTGTGAATAAATGCATTGATAAGAATTAATTGTCGGTTATGCAATTTTCCTGTTTATTTATTTTGTATGTAATACAGACGTGCAGTTTGATGAAAGTGTTTGTCGATTTTTTTGTTACATCATTCCGAATACGGTAACTTGTCACAGAACAGACTCGCTGAACTAAAATACAAAAAGAAACCATGACCCACTTTCGATGAAAAAAAAATTAATAATCAATCGTTAATTAAAATATAGATAATTGATTATTCTTTATGTTACAGATGACTTGGTTCACGTACGTTGCGGTGGCTATTGCTGTACTGGCCTACGCCGATGGCTACTCCGTGGGCGCTCCGGAGAGTGCCTGTAAAGACATGATCCCCAGACATCCCGTGCCCCCACAAAAGACGGCGCCCCCATACAAAATTACCACTAGCACTAAAGTAAGAGACTTTTTTTATAACGACGTTATTGCTATCTTACTAAAAATAACTATCTAGTAGTATACTCTGTAATGTTTTGCAAAAATTATTTGAAAAAAGATAACGGGATATATTTTTTTTTAATGTGAAAAAAAAACATTTTATGAAATATTCATCTGCCAATACGTTTTCTTTTACGTTTCACGATATCATTTAACACAAGAGTCTAATCTATTGTATTTAAAAATAATCATGAGTACAACCTAACAATAAAACAATTAAGTATTATTCTAAGAACAGTCGACACAAACTTAAACATTCGTAATAAGCGTGTATAGGAAGTAATTGTGTGATTAGGCGGTGAGGGCCGGCACTCCGATAGAGGTCACGATAGCTGGTAACAACGCGAAAGACACGATGAGGGGCATCCTGCTGCAGGCGCGTAAGGGAGACGACATCGTGGGCACCTTCACCCTCGACCCTAATGACTCCTTCGCGCAGCTTCTCAACTGTGGAGCCCCAGGAGTAAGTAACAACTACTTAATACATCCTTAAAATATGTTTGGTCTGCTAAAAAAGACTTAATCAATCGTTTCAAACATTAAATGGAACTTCATATACGAAAGCTAACAGTGATCAGTAGTTCATGAAGTATAAGTGTGTACCGCTTTTTCTAAAACATTGTTTCGATAATAGAAACCTACGTTAAAAAATGTACTTCATACATAAAACAATAACAGAAGGCTTCCACGATGGGCAGCGTTGTTTACCTTGTATTTTATTTTCATATTCATACCTTGGGAAGCTTTTGAAATTTGTTTTAATTTTTTTGACCATGACATACGTGTTTATTGGTTTGATTCAAACTATTAAAGAATATTTTTTTCAACATTGTTTTGGTAATTCAATACGATCCCTGGATCGGAAGAAATGTTATTAATTTTTCTTATTTTAAATAATATCTTCCGGTATTTATTTCCAGTTGTCAAAAAAGGCTTTACATTGTCCAATGTCATTGATACATGGCAAGCAAAAAAGTTACTTTCAAAAGTTCTGAGAACCAAGTACCTACTTAATGTGGCTAAATTAGGGGATTTGTTGTTACCGCGTGTTAAAAAATCTATTGTCGTAAGGCCTTCGCTGTGTCATTTGCTGTTTTTTTTTAAATCAAGCATAATCGTTTTTTCCGTACGTAAACAACAAAGGAGTTATCACTCTTTTGTTACCGCATATAAGTTACGCATTTAGTTACTGTTTATAAACAAAAAACGTACAGCTACTTCCTAATTTATAGTCCTTTTATAAGATCGGCTTTAGCCTTTTTTGAGCTTAAATTCATTTGTTATTTTTAAAAACGAAGTGAAAAAAATCTTTACTCAAAGGTATCTAACCTACAACATTTTAGTATTAAAACATGTATTTATGTGACTTTGTAATATGAATTAGGCATGTCTTAAATAGAGAGGTCAAACATCTGTCAAGGTTCTATAACGTTATGGTATCTATTTGACCCTAAAACAAAAAAATTGGAGGTCGTTCAATAAATTAATATACTTTAGACTGTTGAGAACTTTAATCAAGTAAAATTAAGTCAAATGTCTATTTTATTACGATGGAAAAACGATTATACCAAAGATGTAACCTAGAGCTTATCGTACTTACTGGTCGTAGCGGGACTGTACATAGCTGATTCTAGCCTGCGTAAGCATTTAACTTGATTTATTTCCTGTCATATCAGAGACTTTTAGTTGTTCGTTCTTAACCTAGATTTAGTATAATTATTTAGTGCTTTATAAACTATATAAAGATGGTCACGTAAATATCAAATGCCGTAGACAAGCAATGAATAATATTTTACATACTTGGCTATTCGTTTATAAACATTAGCCGGCTGGTAACTAAAATTCTATAACGGCAGCTATACAGTGAAAGGACCAAATACAATTGTGCCTATTTAGACTACTACTATACTATTTAGTATAGGTAACCAATAATTTAACATGATTCGATGAAATAAATACCTACTCTAGCCACAATGCACATAATAAAAAGCAAGTTTATGTTTATCTGTACAATACTAGTTTATAAAGATCAATTCATCCGCATAATTGACAAAATTGTATTTTTAATAAACTCATATAAAACTTATCCCACAGTTTTTACTCACGCAGCAATAAAACTAAAGTTTTCTGTAAACTTAAAACAAATCCATGATAATGAAAACATTTAAAATGACATAAATGGTTTGCGCAACCAACTGCCTACGTACTATCATAAATAATTGACGGGTCTTCGATGTAACCTCTCCGCGAAGCAAAGCCCAGCCTTGAGTGTTGCAACACACGCCGCTTTGCAAATCTCATATCTACCTAAATACCAAATACAGCTATTCTTTTCATACGAAGTATAGATAAAAACAATTTCGATACTTAGGTCAAAAAGCCACCGATTGCAGGTGTAGTGCTAAATCTGATCGTTCGGTCATTTTGTATTGACAATCTAATAAAAATACACCACAAATAACTGAATTTAATATATGGTAAGTATATAAATAATGTTTTTGCAACTTTAATACATACAAATAATGATCCTTAATCATAGTAGCTGTTAGATAAACCTATTACCACTAAGCCTTGACTCTAATGACAATATACAAAGTTAACTAAAAATTGATGTACGAGAATTTCTGATTTACCTGAAACGATATAACAACTTTACATGCATGATTGGTATTGTGGTCGGTCGTTTTAATTATACAGAAGCTTTTTTTGTCTTAAATGGACACGATAATAAAATTGCCAGTCTCTTTATTAAATGACATAACATATGAACGTGAGCTACTTTGTGTTTTTCTGAATTTTAATGCTGTTGTTACTACAGGTCAAGTAATCAGTAGGAGTAGGAATAGCAAGGATATCTACTATATGGTAATTCTTTCAACTGAGACCTTGTTGCACTAAGTCAGGCATGGCTATGGTTAACTACATGCCATACATGGGCTTTGTAATAGTTATATATTTCGTAATAAAACTCGCACAATGCGTTCAAATATTTTGTCAACCTTATCACATAGGTGTTGCATTTGTAAGGCCAAGTTGACCGTTAGGTGGCGCTGAGTTGCTCAATTCCTTACGAAACTATAACATTCTCCGCAGTTCAAGTTTTTTCAAACAATTGATTGTCGATGTTAGTAATAACGTAGGTATATAACGTAGGTAATACATCATAATTACTGCAAATATGTCTATAAAAGTGCACATTTAAAACAAATTTTAATCCAAAACTTTTTTTTATAACATAAACAACGTAAAGTCCTTGACGGTTTTATACGTAGATTAAATATTCTCTGTTTGTTATTCAGAACGCCATCACCCACAAGAAGCACGACGGTAATTTGGACAAACAGACAGCCACCTTCACGTGGACTCCATCCGAAGACTTGGACGGAGAAATTAAGTTCAGGTAAGGTTTTAAACCACAAATACAAATGTGATAATATTTTGATACACAGTGGTCAGATGAAGAAAACCAAAGGAATATATGAACTAGTTTTTTAGGCGGCCTTTTGCCTCCCCGACGTTCTCCCCCTAGCGTGGTGAATCCAAGGTGTTTGTTTTCTTTATTTTAAAATCAATTACATATAGCTAGCTTAGTAAAGATAGGTATGTTAGAAAGGAAGAGATATACTTGTCTAAATATTTGTGTGAATACCGTAGTAATCGTGTTTATCCTAATATTTACTTGTTTGTTTCAGGGCCACGATAGCGTACAATGGGGCTGTGTTCTGGGTGGGCGTGGAGTCCGCTCCTGTCACCATCACACACTAATGTTAACTAACTACTTAGATGTTAACTTACGTATAATTCGTATTTAAATGGTGATATCTCCTTGACTGTGAAATTTATTATTTTTTCTTAATTAAATTGTAAAAACATAAAATGCATTTTTATTCATCCGATAGAGATCTCGGATCTTTAATTTCCTTTGCCGAATCATTTATAAAAATATACTATACGTCTTGTTAAGGAAAAACAGAGGTAAAATATGTATAATTTTGCGACGTAATTTCAGAGTTAAAATTACATATTAAAATGTTTAAATATTCGCTCATTACGTGCATTAAATGTTAATAACATTATTATTAATAAAATAAGGAGTCATGAAATGAAACAACTGATTTCAATTTAATTATTTTTATTTTCAATGTAGCACCTAGTAAATTTGTTTCGAAGATCCTCTTACAAAAACTGCTCCAAAATTGATGGATAGTTTAGGAACCGACTTGCGACTACTTAAAAGAATTTATTTACTTTAATTAAGTATTGCGAAAAAAACTATTGTTTGTTTGAGCCTCGAGAAACTAAACCAAAATATTAAATCTATTTAAGCTGTTGCATACAAATATCTTATGAATTAAATAATTACATATATTAACCAATTTGTTAAATTAATTGACTAATTAAAATAAAGATAAATTTCACATGTAAAGTACATAGATATAATCTTGGTAATTTTGGAAATAACCAGAGACGGAATGACTTCGGAGATTTGCTTGGGTTTACATTGGCGTAAAATCGTCATATACAAAGTTTCTCCACACATTCTGATAGAAAAAAGTTTCTATATAAAAAAAATCTTGTATGATATTCATCAGTAGACATTTGGTAATAAAATGCTATTGTTTTATAAACCTAAATAATTCGGCAAGCATCATTAATTTATATAAAATAAACAAATATTGCAATAATAGTAATACTCTTGTATGAAATGTATTACAAAACTGTGGACAATATTTACTAATTTTTAGTGTAAATTTTACAAAACCTAATCTATCATGGCAGTACTATATGAATTAGATATATAACCTAGTTTCTATGGAAGTCGAAAATTGATATATTCCTAAGTATGAGCATTTATGACCGACATATAAAATGACAGATTACAATCTCATTAGGCGTATTATAAACAGTAAATTGTTTATTGCAAGAATCTGATGACAATAGTCTTTTATTGGTCTGCAACATATGCTATGTAAATGTATAGAAAAAACATGTTATTCCTACATCATACAATTCCTTTTATAGTCAAAAAAGATAGTGATAGAAGACAGAAATTATTAATTATGGTTTTCATGCTATGTTTTTATCAGAATTATTAATTATTATTAATTGGGCTCTTAGTGTTATGAAAGATATACATTTATTCTTTTTAAGCTTTACTCATCTTACTTTAATGGACATTAAGTCTATTTTCAAAGTTAAAAAGACAGATAACTCATACTTTAATAATTAAGTCCGTCGGCAATACAGTGTGTATAAACTGCAACATTACAAGGAATTGCTCAATTGATACAATTACCGTGTAATGTGACTCATTACTTCCAACTAACATTGAATCAAAGGACCAAGCTAATATTCAAAGAATTAATATCTGCTCATGAACATTAGGAAGACAAAGAAAATTTAAACGGTCTCCTCTCAATCAAATTCTCTCTCTCACTGTCAAATAACAAAATCTGATATTTCCATCACAAATTTTACAAGTAAGATTCTTATCAGACAATTAACATTTTGGAGGGACAAGCCGTTAATAAAATAAATCGAGACAAAATAAGATCCATCCAAACTTCCGAATATATACATGAGCACTGGAACGAATAACGATATATTTTACTTAAAAAGACAAACATCATGATGCAATGATAGCAGCTATAGTAGATGTGCTGATATTGCTATAAACAATGTCATATTACGAATATATTAATTCTGATAAAAACATGCACAAAGAATATTACTAATGGCATTATATGAATTTTGTGCAAGCATCTAGAATTGGCAAGGTGATAGCTAGGATATGTTTCAATTAACCATCTTAGTCTTAAAAATCATAAAAATATTGAATGTATGTTTAATCTACATTTTTAATAATTACAAAAAAAATTCGTCTGTAACTGTTTCAGTGTTTTTTCTGGCAAATTATTTTACTTAGTTTATTGGAGCAATATTTTTAAGTGACAGCATATAAAAGTGCTATTTAGTAAATATAAATAATACTGACTTTTATGAATACTAATTATAAATATATTTTGGCAAGGAAATAAACATAAAAAGCCATTTAACATTACATTATAATCCAAACTAAACTTAGAAATCATTTGGTTGGAAATAAATGCATTTCAATTCGATTTTTTAACATTAACATCACAGACACACCTGAATAAAATAAATATATAATAAATTATAAGTTCTGAAGTTATCATTGGCTTTGTATGAAGTAACTTTGTCGCTTAAGTTGCCTGTACAGGGAGATATATTTCCCCGCAGCTGAAGTTCTTGGAACAACATACTGTTTACAGAAAAGTTTCGGATCTTGAGCCTTTTCTGAAAGTTCACCACATTCCAGAGCTCTTAAGAATGCCAGCACAAATGTAAAACAATTATGTCTCTCTTCATTATATCTATGTGCTTCCCAAAGAGGACTGGAGCTTATCTGAAAAATATACATTGAAACTTGAGACTTACCAACTAATGAATTAAAAGCAATTACAACAGATTTTTCCTACAACAATTTTAAAAAGAAATTCACTTCACTTCATGTTTTATATTACTTATCTGTGCTAAAAAAACTTTAAACAGTAATTTAAAATTCATGTCTAGTATTGGTCAATAATTTATAAAATTACCCACCTTTAAGAGCACACTGTCCCATATTTCATTCCACAATTCGTCAAATTGTTCCAGCATCAGACACTGATCCCAGTGCGCGCTGTTGTCACAGTTACTCCATTTCTTTGTCACAGGGTCAACACCCCAAATGCCCTCCTCATTGAACTCAATGACACACCCTTGAGAGTTAGTGACCCCAATGTGCAAGTCTTGCGAGTTGTAATAGTCACTGAAATGTTTCAGTTTATCGTAAGCAATTATGACCAAAAGGAAATGACTCAACACACAAGTATCAACATAAATGCCTACTTTTAAGAAAGAAATCGATACTTACTTAAGAAAATCACCTTGAGTAGGCTTCATTACTATCGCCCTTGGATGTTGAGATGCTTTTACAAACGGATAAGGAACTCTGAAATGAAAATAGGGCGCATAGCAACACACTTTCTACGTCAATAATATTGTCTTTACTTAACGAAAAACGACTTACCGGAACGGTAAAAGCTTGTAGTCGTACCGATCAAGTTTTTGTTTGCAAACTGGGCATTGTTCAGGAATAATTGTACAAAAAACTTTGTGATCACAATGGTGGAAACAAAGGATACCCGGATCCATGTTAACACACAAAATAAAACAATATTATCAATTAAACACGTAAAAAATGATGGAGAAAATTAATCTAAGTTTATTCAGGTCCACTATAGCAATAAATATTTTAGGATTATGACTGAATAATCGACAATATACTGGAACTAACACTCGCTAACAATACTATTGTTCTACAATTCTACATTCTAATTGCACCGTCTTAACTCGTTTGGCAGGACTCTTCAAATAACGTTCATAATACAAACTAAAATGGAATTTTCACATAACATATTGATTTTATCAATGCGTACGTTACACTAATAATTTAGTTCCTCGTACTTTTTTAACCACTCTTTTGTTATTTGATGTACTTTGACTCAAATACTTCATTATGTTTGAGATATTCTAAAATTTCTCATATTTGACAAAAGAAGTTACTTTGTGAATTGCTTTCGAACGCACCTGTCAAGTTGCATTTGACATGACATTTGGCAACATATGATCAAGTTTAAATCGCGTTGATTGGTTACATTGAGGCAACTGTCTTGTGATTGGATGCCAAGAAACAATGAAATTATGACTGAAATGGCGGGAGAATTTGAAATTTACATATTCGGTAAAACGAAACGATGATTAAAATACCAACATAGCTATATGTATGTGTTATATTTTTAGGTATGTACAACTTTTTATCTACACATGAAAAATATTGAAATAAGTTGTATAATGCTTTATCAGAATTGTAGAATTTTAAATCCTTTATAAGTAAAAACCATTTTTTTACATCATCATATTCACAAGCAATAATTAAGTTCTCAATATTGCTTTCAAAGAGTTCAATGAATGCTCTGGACATTAGGATTTGGTCAATAAATTGTGTGTCGGTGTGTATTGTGTGTTTACGGGTTGCCATAGCAACGATTGAATTGATAAAAATCGAGGTAACCACACCTCGACCGTGAGACCTAGTTTATACTTGTGTCGAGTTTTGGACACATCGTGTGGCTTACCGTAGAGCCTTATTCACTATTTTTATAAAGTTAAATTGTTGGAATAATGAAAAGTATTAATTTTGAAATAGATTATTTCAAATTCGATTAGACTAAAGTGTAATTAGGTATATAAATAGACTAAGGAAGTAATGTCTTATTAAATAAGTCTTAGTTCAATTATGCCATAATGTTTTCGAAGAACGAATTAGAGTTTCGAGCATTGTTTTGGACACTAGCACTCATACCTGTGGTGTCAGCGGGCATAGCTTGCCTCAGCAACCCGTGTCTGCATGGCATTTGCATTGATGATCTCAACAGGTAATTATTTTTGTATGTAATAGTAACATAAATTTTTGAACAAAATACATTTAATAAAACAAAAGAAAATTAAAGACAAAAGGACTATGGAAAATAATATTTTTATTAAGTACCTACTTGTCACACGAAATATTTTAACAAATAATTGTATGAAAGGGGCAGGATTTCCCACAAAATACCATAAATTACAAGGGTTATGGCGCCCTATTCGCGTAAGTAGGTCGTCGTCTCAGCAATACACTTACGAGTAAAGCAACTTTAAATTGACTTAAACCTAAATCAAGTTATTTTGTAAAGAGTTTTTTTTTTATTAAATAATGAGATTTTTCTTTACCTGATCTTTATTTTCTAGTACGACTACGGCCAGTGTTTTGTAACTAATCTTAATTTATAAATGCCAAGTATTATATTGATTTAAAAAATTTTCGATAAAATTATGTCGCTGACAACCTTTACGTAAATCCAATATCCAGGTGGAGAGTATGTAAATAGAGTTCTTAGTAGGTTTTTAATGTTTAATAAATGGGAATTCTGAAATATATAATTTATTTAGTTAACTACATTTGTTTGTCTAATAGTGACAAACTACTTTAAGTGGATAATCTATATTTGAGGGGTGTTAACACGTATACAATTTAATACCTCGGTTTGTAACCAAGGAATCCGAGATAGTGCAAGCGATGTAACTTTAGAACAACTTTGGTGTAACTTAATATAGGATTATCCGGATATCAATACAATGGCTTACCTAGTGTTACCATCATTTAGAAAAGTCATATTTGAAATAATCTTTCACGTAATGTGGTGCATAAAATTAAAAATAATTTCAGCCTTAACAAAGTTTCTGATAGCAGTTGTACACAATATCGTTACTTATAGGTACAAAACGTTATAGAACTAGAAATGACCCCTATTTTTTTAATTCACTAATCATAATTCTGATAACGCATCGAAGTTATGTTCTAATGTCATGTTTCAGCACGTATATGTGCTACTGTATAGACGGGTACACTGGCGTCCACTGCCAGACTAACTGGGATGAGTGCTGGTCGGGTCCCTGCCAGCACGGAGGCACCTGTCTCGACGGCATCGCATCCTACAACTGCACATGTCCTGAAGGATTCATTGGTAACTATATAAAAAGCCATATCAGTCTACTTTTCTCCTGATACGGCGACCACTACTATTATTGTCCTTGTTTTCACTAAAGTCCACACTAGCTGTTTTCTGTCGACAAACTACTCTGGATATCGGGAGCTAAAACAATTCAATTGTGGTAAGAAACCCGTATCTTACAAACATACCACATCTTTCCAAAAAAATACCCATCTCAGTCGAAAGAACACTTAGTTTGAAATGTTCTATCCTTTTCCCCTAATCAAGGTGATAATTGTGAGACGAATTTCAACGAGTGTGAATCGAATCCGTGCCTGAACAATGGCACATGCATCGATATGACGAACGAGTATGTCTGCCACTGCGTGCCTGGCTTCTCCGGCGACCACTGCGAGGTGGACGCGGCGGTGTGCGACGGCGACGAGGTGCGTTGCCACAACGGCGGACAGTGTGTCGAAGGCCCTGGGTACAAGTTCTACTGTAAATGCTCACCAGGCGAGTACCATACACTAATGTCAATTTCCAGTTACTAATGCGGTCTAACCGTGCCGAGATTATGATATTTATAACTGCTTTTATGTACAGGCTGGGCGGGGAAGTTCTGTGAAGATCAAATAGACGAATGTGAATCCAATCCTTGTCAAAATGGAGGAATGTGTATTGATATCCACGCGGATTACATGTGTGCATGCGCTTATGGTAAGTAACGTTCATGGGATTATAGACTTTATGTTAATAAAATTGCCTTTAAAGTTTACTAAACTCTTTGATACTTTCAGGTTTCACAGGTAAAAGTTGCGAAGTTCAGATAGAGTTCTGTGATGAAAATTCTTGCAGTAACGATGCATTGTGTGTTGTCGAAGAAGGCGCCAGAGTATGTTATTGTGTTCCTGACTATCACGGTGAAAGGTGTGAACTGCAGTACGACGAATGTCTACTGGGACCAAGGTAACTATCATTTATTGTACCAACAAAGTTACTGCGATTCTTCTATATGAGGAGTAGTTTTAATTTGTCTTTAATTAACTTTCAGATGTATGAACGGTGGCACTTGTATAGATGGAGTTGATAATTTTACCTGTTCTTGTCCACCGAATCTTACTGGAACATTATGCGAATGCTTGATTATAAGTGACGATCATATTGATTGTGAATACGTTAGTCCTATACCATTATACAACACTACCACAACGTTGCTTACTACAATTGCTGAGAAAACGACAGAAATTGTTTCAACAATTCCATCGATAACTTACAACAATACATCGTCTTATGATTTGACATCTCAAAGTGAACCTTGGACTACATCAGCTATGGTCGATTTTTCATCAACCACAGAAATCACATCGCATACAGTAGGTGAAAAAACAAACAAACAAGAAACTACAACCATATCGTATTCAAGTACATCTGAAATTGAAGAAACAACAACGCCTAGTACAACTGTTTTTTTTACATTAGAACCACAAACACAAAAAACTATCAGTTCTGAAGATTCTAAAACGGAAAGTACGTGTAAAGAGACATGCGATAAAGCAACTGAACTAACTACTATGACAACGTCAAGTGAATTGGAAACGACGTTGTTAAACAATCAAACAACATCAGTACCGGTTACTCACCCTACAAAAGTAACAATTGAATCCCAAAATCAAACAACTGAAGTAACTACCGCAATTTCTTCCAAATCAACTATCGAAGATGTAACAACTCCAACAACAGTTCCGGACCACAAACTAGATACAACAGAAAAAATGTTCACAGACATCCCTACAGAATATTCATTAACGGATGCCTCTCCGACGTATACAAGTGAATCTGTTGAAACTACAACATTATTTGATAAAACAACTCACGTCTACACAACTGTACAGTCGGATTGCACCGACGCCGTCTGCAACAACCGCGGCAGCTGCGCCAACACTATACACGGTATTAGAGTAAGTAAGGATTTACACAGCTTTTATAAAACTTCTGGTGTAATAATTTCTGATTGTAAAACAATTCTCAATCGATTTATGTTATTTCAAGTGTCATTGCTTATTCAACTATGGAGGAAGATTCTGTGAAGTGAAATTAAGTATAACAACTGCGGCTTTCGGAGGGAATTCATACATAGTACATCGTTTAAGCAACACCACATCGATCAGTATTGAATTTAGTGCAAAAACATTAATCACCGATGGGCACGTAATGCACGTAGATATAGCTAGAGGAGCATATATGGAATTATTTTTAAATTCAGGATTATTAAAGTTTAAATTTTCTTGTGGGTACCAAACAATGCTATTAAGTGAACTGAAAACTTACGTCAACAAAGGGTATCCAATGAAAATAGAAACAAGGTAAAATAAAACAAATATGAGTTATAGTTTTTTTTTTTAAATTAACTTTTAAAATTAAACGTCTTCTAATTTCTTTGTTTACAGATTAGATTTATATTTAAATCAGCAACAATGTAATGCAACTCTGCATTTAAATGATACAGTCGCGATGAGCGGCGGACAGATAGCTAACATAAGTACAGTCGATCCTAATATCATGCTGTATTTCGGTAATATGCCTGACAGTAATTATACCGACAACAAACCTTTTATTGGATGCATTAAAGATTTGAAGGTAAATGTAAAATTTGATTATAATAAGATATATGCAATGCATTTTTGTACATGATTGTTTAGAAAATAAAAATGAATTTAAATTCAAAGAAATCAGACACATGTCTGATTAATGTTGTTTTGGATGAGAAACGTAATTTATAAACATAGGCAAGATATGCATTCTTAAAAGTGGCTTGGACTGTTGACTAATGTACACATTATCTGTTTTATAAAGATAAATAACAAGAGTCGGGAAATATTCGGCGAAGCATTTAATGCTGGCGAAGTAACAGAATGTTCATCTCTGTCCTGCTTGTCTGGGCCTTGTCTCAATGGCGGGACTTGCAATGACAGCGGTGAGGGCTACACCTGCTCGTGTACTAATGGGTAAGACTGCTATGTTACAATTTTATTTAATTCTCAATTAATGTAACTAACTACTTGTAATTTGTCGGTAGGTGGATGGGCGAGAACTGCAAGCAGTCGATCTGTGAACACAACCCATGTGAATCAGGCGGCAGCTGCGTCAGGTATCCCGGGAGCGGTTTCCTCTGCCTCTGTCCCTATGGAAAACACGGCATCTTCTGTGAATATAGTAAGATAACTCTTCACCAAAGTAAAATTGTATCATAGTCTTTCGCTGATGTCAAATAGAGTCTGAATAAACACATCTTTTTTCCCTTTTAATTATTTAATTCGGTATTTTGTTCAATTATATATCCTTGGGTCCTTTACTGGGTTGATTCCCTGTATTAATGACGTCCCTTATTTTACTTTTAACATAGTAAGTACGAGATACTTTACATATTCTCCGCATTGTGATGGTGGGATTAATGCATATTTATTCTTTGTTCGTCAGATGTTGAGATAACTCGGCCGTCCCTGGCGCCGATAGCGAGCGGCGTGTCGGCGTACCTGGTGTACCCGCTGTCGGCGGCGGCGCTGAGCTCCGAGCGCTTCGAGCTGCGGCTTCGCTTCCACACTGCGGACATGGACCAGATCGCGTTGCTCGCCTTCGTCGGCCAGAGCGGCCGCCACGGCCCGCGCTCGCACCACCTCGCACTCACCTTCGTCAAGGGCTATCTCATGCTCACCTGGAATATGGGCAGCGGTAACAAACATTAAGAATCGTTTCAAAGCTATTCGTTTTAAGAATAGATAGAACTATCTCGACTAGCAGGTAGATTGTCTGGCATCGTTCTGTCAGGTCCTCGTCGCGTGTTTACGTCGCGCGCGGTGGGCGTGCGGCGCGGCGGGCACGCGGTGCGCGTGTGGCGGCGCGGGCGCAGCGCCGGCCTCAGCGTGGACGGCCGCCACAACGTCTCCGGCAACGCGCCCGCCCCGCCGCAGCACGACAAGATGACCCTGCTGCCCTATTTGTACATAGGTAAGACCGACACTAAGGGTACAGACGCCTCCTAAAGAAAACCTAGCCTGAAAGTGTTTGATTTCCTTTTTATGATGCTCAGGTGGTCATCCGTCATTGAATTTCGCGGAGTTGCCACACGACCTGCCGCTGCACGGCGGCTGGCGCGGCTGCGTGTGGGACGTGGGCGGGCAGGCGGCGGGCGGGCGCGCGGCGGCGGGCCGCGGCGTGGGCCAGTGCGGCGTGGCGCAGTGCACCGCCAGCTCCTGCAATGCGCCGCGGGGACTCTGCATACACTCACCTGCTACTTATGGGTGGGTTAGAAATTGGAGGAAGGACCTAATAAAAGTTTTGTTGACTTTGTTGCAATAAGCCAATGTGATACAAAGAAATCTGTTTTTAAAGCTACGTATAACCTTCATACATGCAGATGCATCTGTAACGAGGGTTGGTTCGGGCCGACGTGCGCTGGCCGGCAGCCGGCGTGCGGGCCGCGCTCGCGCTGCCGCGGCCGCTGCGTGCTGGGCGGCGACGGGCTGGCGCACTGCGACTGCCCCTACGGCAAGACCGGTGACAACTGCGAACAAGGTCTATATACTTTTACATTCTTACTTACCAGGTCGGTTGATATGATTTTCCGTTAACGTTCATCATCTGAGTACATGATACTTTGTATTGATTGTTTCTTTTATTTTCAGATATGATTCCAATAGATGTAATGCTAAGCGGTGTGAGATCGTACCTGCGACTGGAGCCGCGGTCGCTGTCCAGCGTCAGTTTGTCTCTGGAAGCGGAGATCAGGCCGGACAAAGAGCGTGGCCTGCTCATACTTGTACAAACGCCTCACTTCTACACAACGCTGTCATTGCAAGGTGGTTTACTGGAGTACCGGTGGACGGGTGAGATAAAAAAATACGGTCCATTTGCTTAGAAATACAGATTTGTATGAGCGTTTTCAAGAAATGTCCATGACTCATCCCCTCGAGTGGCAAATTTCGGGACGAAGATTATCTTTTTACTTTAGATCTTGCAATTCATTGGTTTTATTTATTGTTTTTGTATGTGTTTGTTGCAGACCGGCTGTCCGGTGTGACGTCGCTGGTGCGCAGCGGCGCGGTGTGCGCGCTGCGGCGCTGGCAGCGCGTGCGCGCGGGCCGCTACGCCGCGCGCCTCTACGTGTGGCTGGACGGCGCGCTCGCCACAGAGCCCATGCTGGCGCACGCCTACCCGCACACCGCCAGCGACGCTGACATCTTTATAGGTAACGCTCTCATTTTAAATGTAAACCTAATAAAAAGCCCTTCAAGTCTAACTTTGACTCAATTGTGCAAGTCCGAATAACAGTTTGGGAATGACCCAATAACGCAGGTGGTGCGCAAGATTTATCAACGGTGCCGTTCGACGCGATGTCCGGACCTCCGGAGTCGTATTCGGGCTGCATACGAAATCTGCACGTTAACAATGTTCTCCTGCCGCTCGACCAGCAAAACATACGAGGTGGGTCTATCAGGAACTCTCACAACGTTCAATAAAAATGTTTTAGTTACATGTTTTCATTTCAGTCGCCGGTTTCCCAAATTTTTATATAATCGGAATGATTGGTAGTCGACGTAAAGTTTACCCTCTTCAGATGGTCGCAACGTGGGTGCGTGCGGCGGCGCGGCGTGCGCGGGCGGGCGCTGCCGGCGCGCGGCGTGCGAGCCTGCGCGGTGCCGCGCGCCGCACGGCCGCTGCCGCCGCCATCGCTGCGTGTGCGCCGCGGGCCGCGCCGGGGAACACTGCCAGACACGTACCTTACATTATTTTCAGTATTCAATTTTTTTTATTCGTAATGTTATAGATATTTTTACTGAAGTGTTCTTATGCAGAGATTAATATAACGATCCCGCAATTCGACGGCGATTCGTTGCTGCGGGTGCAGCCGCGGCAGGCGCGGGCGCGCGAGCAGCGCCTGGCGCCCGCCGCTGCGCGCCTCGCACTCAACTTCACCACCGCGGAGCCCGGCGGACTGCTGCTGTGGATCGATATGGTAAATATAACGGTACTTACTAAGATAAGGTAATAAGTTATTTACGTACAAATAGCAATAACTAGTGTTAGCGAGAACTGATGTAAGAAGTAATTATTATTTACCAATTATTTTGTTACCAGGGTATTGACTATCTCGGGATCGCTATGGAAAATGGATACATAAAGTTGGTGTGGTCTATACATTGCTACGTCACTGAGGTGGTGCGACAAGATGTTAAATCTCTTCCGATTCGACCACGGATGCTTTCGAAAATTTTGCCAAGCGTTGGCTTTTTAGCTGATGGGGAGTGGCACAGGATTGTATTGGAGTTTGGAGAGAAAAATATTACATTGACCGTCGATAAACGATTAGCTTTCATAGAGGAGTCATGTGAAAGAGACTTGAACAACAACGTGGACTTGTATATAGGTAAGCATAACTTTTACCGGTTAAGGACAGCGCCCTGGGCGAGATATCTACTGCACTCCCATTTCTACCATGTCGTAGATCGCACGTATACAATGTACTACTCAAATGTTTTCCGTACGCAGGTGGAGTAAACGAAGAGGATAATCCAGCCGTGAAAAAGATATTTCCACAAAACTTCAAGGGCTGCATCGATCAGATATCAACCCGTGATGATTCCTTCATCACCGACTACTCAGAGTTTTACAGTGAAAATGTTAACTCGTGCCAACTTTTCCCTATTACCTAATTTTATACATATCACGGCATATCGGTATTTGCAAGATACAATTAATAAATTCTTTACAATTCGGCTAGGGAAATTACGAACAGGCGAGAGTCACGATTTGTCGGTAACATACTAAATATTCATACCTGTGAGTCCACTTTTGTGTGCTCGTAGGAATATTCCATATGCCAAGAAAATATCTCAAACTGTACAACCGAATGGTCTTACCCTTTTATCAACATTTCAATCCAATGTTAGAAATGAAGAATGGATAATGTTTATGCCCCACTTAAAACAGAGTTATTTCACGTTGTTAACGACTATTTTTAATCTCATTTGTGCATAGATTTTATCCTGTATTTAAAAAATTATAAAAATTATAATCAGCTCCTTTCTCTTTTTAGTGGGTTCATTTTTGATTTTGAAATTCTCAGTCAAGTGACCGATCTTCATTCTCTTTTTATTAGTGTTTACATAACAGTAGCAAATATTGTTAATAAGTAGAAAATAATTGATTTGTATAATTAGTATTAAGAGGCAACACTCATGGTACAAACGTTTTCTAGTCAAGTTTTAGTATCACTACTAAGAAATTTTATATTAAGCGAACTATTAAAGTTTTAGATTAAACGTTGTGGGTTTTTAGAAAAAATAAAATAAAAATTCATCATACACAAAATATAGTTTTATTGATATATTCATGTTTAATAAATTGTATACATAACATCATCAAATATTATATTATAAACATATACATTTCGTTATACGTTACTAATTCAAACACAAATACAATATGAGATGTTATCCCCGTGCTCTACATCTGATTTACGTTGACACGAAGTGCGGGCGCGGCGACCGGACACAAAGCTCAGCTCGACCTCCTCCTGCCCGTCATCTGTATGTACATCCTCCCCGATACATACAAAAGCGACACGAACGCACATTAAGTCGTACAGTTTACGTTAGGCCTATTTACAGTGGAATAAAGTTGGAATGCTTGACTGCAGCGCGATACAGCTTGCTATTGCGACATTGTACAACACGATAGACTTAGGAACATAGAGTCCTTTACTGTTTACAACACGACATTCAACATCGATACAAATTCTAAATAATAAATATTACAATAAGCCGTATAAATAAATAAATCGTTCATTGCACATCGTTCATTTTAAACAATTTAAGCGACGGCTCCGCCATTCGCCGTCGGCTGCGATGTCAGGCACGAAGTGAATCTCTACGGAACGTTACATTTTACATCAAATATATCGATAAGCAAGAACGTAGGAATGTTTCTAATAACATTAATAAACATAAATATAGAAAATAGGACAAGCGGATCACAGAAGTAAATATTATATATTTACGAAGTAATTAAGCCTAGAAGTGGTGCGCTGCGACGCGCGTCCAGGACGCGGCGCGCGCGCGGCGCCGCCGCGGACATCGAATGCGATAAGGCCTATGTGTAGTAACAATATCGTTATATCGTTATATATCATATACTATAATTGTTGACACTGACACATCCTCATAAAACTCTTTAAAATATTAAGAACATCGAAATCTAAATTGTATATCCCATATGCATTACGTCCTAAACGCCCTCAAGCAAATGAATATATGACATTTCGCTTATCTACCTTGAAATTATTTAATTTAAAATTATATTTAAATCGAACTCATTTAACAATTCTTATATAAATCTATAAAATAACAAATACGAGAATGGGATGCGACCGCGGCCGGGGCCGGGGCCGGGGCCGGGCGGTGCTGCCGGCTCGGCGGCTGCACTCTATGCCGGGTGGTAACAATCTCATTAAATTCATAATCTCTACATTTAATAAACAAATTACACTACATTACATAATTTCATTAATAAAAGGTCATGTCCTATTGATTAAAAAAGCTATAATCGATCATACGTTGAACCGTTACGTCATTACAAATTAACATCGGAATATAAATGATCGGGTCAGTAGACAGTAGTGGCGCGAGCGCTGCCTCTCTACGACAGGCGATGCCGACACGGTGTAAAGCATTAAAAACGGAAAGTAAAAACAGAAAGCATATATTTTTGTAAAATCAGTCTCATTCGCATAAGGAAGTGATCACAGCACACACACTGGAAACTCGTTGCGGAGCGAGGGGCCACGACCCTCTCAACAGAACACTAATAATAGAGCACCATGGTCGCTAACTCGCTACACTTAATAAACGTGATAAAAACATGCAACAGACTAATTGAAAATTTCATTATAAAAATATCAAATGTATGAGAGACATACGGAGCCAAGGATTGAGATTGGAAGTACACGTATTATTAAAAATATAAATACATTTAGTCGGATACGAAGCACATCACAATTCCCATCGGATATAATATATTGCAAAACGAAACAATTCATAGAATAGACTAGATATATAGAGTAATTACAACTGGAGACGGTAAATGTAACATAACTCATAAAATATAATCGAGTTCGCGTTTACGCATCAATGGCTTTAGAAGTGTGAAGCGGAGATCTCACACAATACATATCTTTATTCAAAATTAATTTACATGAAATAAGCAAGACAGCATTACTTCGTGCCATTTACCCCATCTCTGATGCAATTGACTACTTATTATATACAATATAAATAACATTTAAGGTACTTCACAATATGGTGCAAAACGGAAGAATAATTTGTACAAAATAAAATTATTAGCTGTCAACATTGAAAAATGAATTAATAGCAATAAAATTCTGTTCCCATCCATACATATAGAAATACAATTGAGGATACATTGTCAATATTTAGATTTATTAACTAATTAAATATAAAATTATAACGCGCCTCTACGCAAACATCGAGCGCGCGGAAACGTAAATAGACAAAATTCGTAATATGAAAAAACATTCATCTCATCATCATCATAAACTCGTGAAGGGTGTCGCTGGCCGCGGCCGCCGCCGACATGCGATTGCGCTTTATACATCTGACTGATGTTAGATTGGGTCGTAAGAGTTCCAATCTTACATTTCATTAAAATATTCCATTTCATCTTTGATAGATCCACAAAAAGTCATGTAACTAAGAACCGTGTAAATTAAAAAGAATTTTGCTGAAATCGCATGTCGCCGGCGACCGCGCGGCGCGTTATCCTAATTTGGAGCTCGATAGGGTGTCGAGAGCGTGCGCGGAGCGAGCCGCGCGGTGTTGGCGTCAGATGCGGGCCAGAGCCCTGGGGGGCGCCCTCGCCAACGCCCGTCA